TAATCTGCAACACATTAAAGAAATTGGGGGCTTTGAAGTAGTAAATACTTTCATATACCTGGGGTCCCTAATAACAAATGACGGAGGGTGTGACAGAGAAATACGTAGAAGGTTGACTATTGCTAGAACAGCCGTGATGAAACTGATAGCAATTTAGAAAAATTCTAGCATAACAATACACACAAAACTAAGGCTGGTAAGGGCGCTAATTTTTTCCATAGCCACATATGCATCCGACACGTGGACCTTAAAGAAAGCGGATAAAAATAAACTGGAGGCTTTTGAAATGTGGGTGTACCGCCGCATGTTGAGAATATCCTGGATTGATCATCGCACTAACGTATCGATATTAGAACAACTTAAAGTAAAGGATAGATTGCTTAAACAAATACAACAGAGATATTTGCAGTATTTTGGACACATTGCTAGAAGAACAGGCACGATGGAAAAACTGATAGTCGAGGGTAGAGTTGAAGGAAAGAGACCCAGGGAAGATCTCCAAGCCGTTGGGTAAATCAAACAAAAATATTGATTAACTAAGGGTTACATGAAGCAGAACAACTAGCCCAGGACAGAGAAGGATGGAGGGAAATCGTAAAAAAAACTGTGAAGGCCTGATGGTGTCACCACATCCAAAAAGGGATTAGGACTGAGGAGGAGAAGGAACTGATACTTTAAAAGCCTTTCTGAAGATAAGGTACTTTTTTTAAAATGTGTTTTTTGCCGAATTGTCGAAAAAAAAAACTTTATTTTATCTATTTGTACACGATAGCATTGAAGTGCGTCCTCCACCAATAAATTTAACTAATGAGTAAAACAATTTAAATGTTTTCATTCCAAAACAGCTTTAATAGCTTTGACCATATTTGAGGCATTAGTTACTGCAAAATTTACTTTTCGTTTTAGTGATTAATAATAATAATAATAATAATCTTTATTAATAGCACATGGCTAGAAAAATATACATGTAGATACATCAATTTATACCCTTAAAATTAAATCACAATGCTTTGCTTAACATATATCTTACATAAATTTTTAAATTGAGCTAAGTTTCCAGAAGCCTTAATGTTTTCCGGTAATTCATTGTATTGCTTTAATCCCCTATAAAAAAGATTGTTTTGACCAAAATTAGTGTTGACCCTATTCAGATAAAAGTTATTTCTAGAACGTGTGTTGTATTCATGTACATCTCGAACAAAGGTACAATTATTACACAAATGCACAGGTATCAGACCATTTAACATTTTATAAACAAAAATCATACTATTACATACAATTGTCTGTCTTACACTTAAAACATTTGCCATTGTTAGCATGTCAGTTCTACTAGTGTATACACTACATCCTAATATTATCCTTAAGGCTTTATTTTGTTTTTTCTGCAGTACGTTCATTTGAGAAGCATTCATTAAAAACAGCAATGTAGAGCAAAAATAGAGATGGGGAGCAATAATCGATTTATATATGGTCAACCTAGACCAGCAACTTAAATTTTTTGACATTCTTCCCAATGCATAGATTTTTTTTGCTATTTTGTTTGTAACAAACTTAAAATGTTCAACAAAACTTAAATTTTCATCTATAATACATCCCAAATACTTATACTGAACCACTCTCTCCAAAGCAATATTATTAATTTTTACATCTTTTATTATGTTATTTAATTTAAAATTTTTATTCTTTATAAGCATCATTTTTGTTTTAGTTACATTAAGACTTAAGGAATTATTATCGAGCCATTTTAATATATTACATATCTCTTCATTTATTATATCGATTATTTCATCTACCTTATCCCCTATTGCATATATCACAGTATCATCGGCAAACAACTGTACCTTACACTTTTTAACAACATCAACAATATCATTTATATACAGTATGAAAAGAGTAGGACCTAACACAGTTCCCTGTGGCACACCATACAGACTTCTGAGCCGATGAAATGGCACCATATTTTGTCACTTGTGTTCTATCAGTCAAATATTCTTGAAACCACTTTATAATTTTTTCACCAAAGCCATACCTTTCCATCTTTCTCAATAGCAGTTGTCTGTTTATGGTTTCAAATGCACGTTTAAAGTCTAAGAAAACCACACCAATCATTTTCCCGCACTCCAGCGCACCCTTCCAGTCAAGCAAAACCGTCTGCATTGCACTCTCACAGGAATTTCCTCTCCTAAACCCTGCTTGGAATTTAGTTAACACATTATTGCTTTCCAAGTACTCCACTATTTGATCATTTACACATAATTCCAGCAGTTTTTTCGTATGGTGGTACCATATTTATGGGTCGAAATTCCTCACACTTAACAGTTCCAAGAACCTTCTCAATTGGTACAACCAGACTTCTCTTCCATTTACTTGGAATACGCCACTTTCTAAACTACCATTTATAATATGCAAAATTTTGTCGCCTATTACTTCAAAGGAACTCTTTAAAATTTGAACTGTAATACCATCAACATTACTTTCTTTGTTTTTCATTTCTTTCATTTGTTTTTTTAAATCTTTCATTTCTAACATTTTGAATTTTTCCATTTTGCAGTCGACATTTATTGAACTACAAATTTCTTGGTGGGTTTTGTTTGAAATAATGCTATCTGCTATGTCTTTTACACTGTCTAGAAAAAATATATTAAATCTTTCACTTATCTCTTTACCAGTAACCCCCCCACCATCAAATATTATTTCACTTTTAGCTTCATGGTTTTTTTTGCCGTTTACAAGCTCCTTTAATGTTTTCCACATTCTTTTTGGATCATTCTTACAATCATCTATTTTTTCCTGATAATAATTTTGTTTGGTAATTCTGATTAATGCTACGACTCTATTTCTTTGTTGTTTGAAATCATCCCAGTCAGTATCAGTTTTAGTAAATATGCCTTTTTGTAATATTGATCTCTTTTTTTAATTTCATTCGCAATGTCTTCATTCCACCATAATTTATTTCCCCAAACATCCTTCGTATTAATAGACTTTTCTGGAGCAAACTGATCGAGTGCAGACAATACATTAGTTATTAGAATATCAGCATTGTTACTTACATCTATAGAGAACTTGACGGCCACTGCATATCCATAAGTTTCATTTGAAATCCTGTCACATCCATTGTATATTGTACTTTCTATAGGTTTTTGTGAGTGTCGTCTCATTGTTTCTACCCAGATCAGCTACAATTATCGAATGATCTGTAATCTTTGAGTTGGGAGCACCTTGCAACTAATGTCTTTTTGATTTGTAAGTACTAGATCAATCCTAGTAGATGTCGATTTTGTAATCCTTGTGTATTCGTTTATTAGCTGATAGGTACCATTTTTAATAATAATATCATTTAATTTCATAGAGTAAAAGTTTATACTTGCCAAATCTATATTAAAGTCTCCCAATATCACAAAGATAGCATCAGTCTCAATGCTATCTAAAAAACGCATCCAACTCCTCCAAAAATTCTGGTAATATTTCTGGTTTTCTATAGTTATTTGTATTCCTGTTAACCATATATTCTTGTTTTTTTCTTCTTTAATAATTTCTTTATAACGATACCTTTTTTGTATATAAATTGATGTTCCTCCTGTATGTCTACTTGAAGAAAAACCAACAACTGAGTTGTAGCCATCAATATCTATTTCATTTGATGCAAAATCTGAGGTAACATGGGTCTCCGATAAACACATAATAATTGGCTTTTTCTGACTTGCAATCCATGATAACTGTGTTTTATGTGTGCTAAATCCTTGAATGTTTAGGTACAGAATGGTTGGACTTGATTGCTATATTTTACAATTACCATTTTACAATAGACTATTCAGTCTACCCTCACATCAATCAATGGTCGGGTCTTAAACCCGTACCATGACAAAAATTTTTTCAATTTTTTAACGTGTTTGTGAAGTCCAGTGTCGGCATTTTTATATGTTTTAAGAATTCCAACTCCTACAAAATCATAATTTTGAAATTTAAGGAAATGAGATCTCTCCTTTGTAGTGGTATTTAAAAAAATTGACCATAGCTCTGATGATGGCTTTGTAAAGCCGAAAGCGCTCAGCTAGGAATTGCCTAAAATATACACACTTCAAAAATACTTTTTTGCATTTTCTTTTCGACTTGTCATAAGTGTGTACAAAAAAATATCAGTCTTTTGATTGTTTAATTACTGTTTAATGAGGCATTTAAATATTTACAAAGGCAGAATGGTACATACTGTAGCTGACAAAGTAGCAGCTGTGTTAACAATTGGCGAATGTGAAAATAATTTCCATGCAGCAGAACATCTTTATAAGGGAGGTAACCCGATCATCCTACATCAAGAGCTTATTTGATGAAGTTCTTCGGAAGTTTAAACAAACAGGTAGTGTTCAAGATGTCAAACGATCTGGTCAGATAACAATTCAGAAATGGTAGACCTAGATGAGGAAGTGAAAAACATCCATATATTCTTCCTTCCTTAAAGTTTTATTGTGAAAGCCAATTTTTTTATGGAAAATTTTAATATATATATATATATATATTTCTATTATATTCATTAACACAAATGCGTATGACTGCTAGACTAATTAGTTTATCAATATATTACAACTTACAAAATCTTGTAAGTCAAAAAAGTATATTATCCTTAATGGCACACTTCTATACTAATAGGTTACACTCATCTGTATAAAGAGCAACTTTAAGTAACCATTTCAGACTGATACTTTGAATGCTGAAACAGTTATGTAGGGAAATGTTACTTATTATTTAAAATACACACAGTAAATTCTGTGCTTTTTTATTAAAATTAACAGTTCTTTGTCTTACAAACTAATTAATTAAAAAAAATAGCCTGAGGACATTCTAATATACTGGAAAAAAGTATATTTATTGAAAACAACTTATTTAGAAGTCATCTGAAGGAAATGGAGGCATTTATGAAGTTAAAAATAATGGGGATTTGCACATATGTAAGGAGGAATATGTTTTTTAATCCATAGTAAAAATCAAAGTAAACTACAGTAAAAAACAGTTAAAAACAGCTTTATTATATTACCTAATTATCTAACAAATTGTCCAAAACATAAACTAGCATTAGTACCTCCAAAACCAAAAGCATTTTTTAATGCTATTCTTCTATCACACTTTTTCCATTTTTGACTTATAATAGGAACAAAATTAATTTCATTGTCTTCCGTATTTTCCAAATTTACTGTAGGAGGCAAAACACCTTCTTCTATAGCTTTTATTGTAAAAAGAGCTTCTAAATTACCAGCTGCCCCTAATAAATGCCCATGAGCTCCCTTTGTTGATGAAACAGAAATATTATTACAGGATGGACCAAATAGATCCTTGATAGCTCTAGTTTCTATTGAATCTCCAATTGGAGTTGAGGTGGCATGTGCATTTATGTACGTAACTTGATTAGAATCTATCCTAGAGTCTTTTAATGCTCTCTCCATAGCTGAACGGGCTCCAGCGCCATCAGATCTAGGAGCTGTTAAGTGGGATGCATCTCCAGATAAACCATAACCTACAAAACACAAATTTAGGTTACATGGTAAATGTTAAATTGCTTGTTTAAGTAACCTAAAAGTTCAGCATAAATGTGAGCATTCCTGTCTAAAGCATGTTGCAATTCTTCTAATATTAAAACAGCACTTCCCTCCCCCATAACAAATCCCTCTCGCAATTTGTCAAAAGGCCTAGAAGCTTTTTCAGGTTGATCATTAAAGGAAGTACTTAAAGCCCTTAGCCTAGAAAATCCAGCTATTGACATAGGAGATATACAAGATTCTGTGCCTCCACAAATCATAATATTGGCATCTCCATTTCTTATAAATCTAAAAGAGTCTCCAATGGCATGTGCACCAGTTGCACATGCTGTGGATACTGAATGATTAGGTCCCCTTAAACCATATTTGATGCTTATTTGTCCAGCAGCCATATTGGGAAGAATTCGGGGTACAAAATAAGGGCTTACATGATGATACCCTTTTTTTAAAGCATCATAAGTACTACAAATATCTTCTAGATCTACCATACCCATTCCGACAGCTACTCCAGCTATGTTTTTAGTGTTTTCATCCATTTGATCTAATTTTGCATCCTCCAAAGCCTCTTTGGCAGATATAAGTGCAAATCCGGTTGCACGAGCCATTGTTCTTAATTCTGATTTACTAAAATAGTTTGATAAATTTATTTTCTCTCCCTTGTCTTTGGCATAACCCCCAATTTTACACGGTAAAGATTCATATTCAGGACCTTCTAACCTTGTTATTCCTGATTTTCCAGAAATAATATTTTTCCACGCTTCTTTGACGCCGGTACCAACAGGGGATACTACTCCAAGACCAGTTACAACTACCCTTCTCTGCATTTTACTAATCTTTTTTAATAAATTATATTAATTCAGTTCATTTTAAACAGATCAGAACTACAGATCTTACAGATAATACTAACCTAGGTTGGTATTGTGCTTCTTCTTCTCACAAAGAGCAGGTTTATGTATTGTTTCTTCTCACAACAAAAAAGGTTATATGCTATGACAGCAACCAGTGTAGAATCACAGAACATCCAAATGATTTATGCACATGCGTCAATATCTGCCATTTTTCGTACTGTTTTTTGTAAACAAACATGTTATAATATAAAGTACATGAACAGAAAATTATAAAAAATACTGAAGTATAATTATTGAAAAAAAAAATGGATAAATACAAAAATTAAGAAAAAGTGCCCTTTATCGATTATTATTAAGGCCGTATGACACTATGCATTTTCTTGTATCATTTCTTATATATCGTTTCTGATATAACAAAAAAATGGATAGTATCATACAGGCGTATAGTTTCTTATATCAGAAACGATACAAGAATTTGTGTCCGCTGCATTTTCTTGTACAAGAAATGCGCCAATTTGTGCGCAAAGCCGCTAAAACACAAAACTATGTTTTTTGGAGTTATAACCCCAAATATGTTTTCAGGGGGTTAAAATAAGGACTACTTTAGTTGAAAATATGGAAGAGCAAAATGAATATCAAAACATTAATATAAACAACATAGAAACCATTACATTGTCGTTTTTTTTGTTAATTAATATATTTAGACAAGTAATAAAAATGATTAACATCATTAATTAGAATAAAGAATCATATATTATTCCTATCTTATATATTAAAACGCTAAGCCCTTTTCTTGTCCACCACTTTACTCAAAAACCATATTAGATAATTAAAATATTTTTTCGGAATATTATTAGTATTACGTATGAGATTGTCAAGATATACTTTTGGTACAAAAATTCACTTCCGGTTTTGAGATGACCGGAAGTTAAAATTTACTTTAAGTTTTAGACCCCACAATGTATAAATGGATCGAAAGGTCTCGTCGAGACGAATCTAAATATGTACTTCCGGTTGCGATCCGACACCGGAAGTGACCCGAAACGCGCATATAACGTCAAGACAGAGCCAATCTGACACCGGATTCGTGATCAGCATGCAAAAATTGCATTCCGGTTTTGAGGTCGACTTCCGGTTTCGTTTTTATTAGAAAGTAAAAGTTTACATAACTCCCGGTGCCAAGCAAAAGTTTTCAGAAAATGGAGACATTGTAACAAAAAACATTGTTTTTGACGAAATATTTCGTGATATTTAATACACTTTTTACTTGCATTATTATTGATGAATGTTATGTATATTCTTGCTTATATTGTTTGTATTGATCTCTTAATTTTTCTCGCAAAATAACAATTTCATTTAAAATACTCGATGTCGAGTTGATTCGCTAGTGATGCCTAACCTCTTAATCATCTCTTTTCTTTTTGTGGGCGTCCATGAAATTTGAGCCACCTTGTTAATTGACTACAATAATTATGAGTTTTAACGGAACTATAAATAAGTGAAGCACCATCAATATTTTTTCTTATGATTGATTCAATTGTGATTGTGGAGATAATACCACCGAACAACATAATACTGCGTTCCCAACCATTGTTATTTTATTGTTGATCAAAACCATCAAAACCTTGGATCAAAACTCAAAACTTGAATTGCCGCTGTTTCAACATGGCAGCTGCGCTTGCGTTCGTCATAAAAGCGTATGATAAAATGATAAAAAGGGCCGTCTGTGTGGAATTTTGTGATTTGTGGAGACGAAAAACATTATTCTACATGTTTTGTTTTGAAACTATGTTCTTGTGGCATATTTTTCACATGGGAATACGTTATTGGAGTAATCCATAATAAATAGTAATCCAAAAACACGTTTTTGTTTTGTTTTTAATTCCAAACACATTCAAAGATTCCAAAAATTCCTAAAACTGAAACAAAACAAAAAATTTGGTTGAGTTTATCGAAAGTACAAGTTAAATATAGCAGCAAATGTGAAGGAAATAAAATATTTCGATTTGGCAGTGTTGGGATGTTTGTATAATGCATATGTTGTGTACTTCAAATATAAAGAGAGAAAGCTTTTAAAAAGTACATTTTTATTATACTATTTTCATTTTTAATTTATATGAAACAATAACGAGTAAATATTTGTCTCTTTCGAGATTAATTACAAACATCTATTGCAATCTGGCAACTGCTGATTTGACCACTCTATCAAAGGGCAATTGCCAAAAAACTTCTAATAATTAATTGCAATTAATTTCCAAAAAAATAAATATTTACTCATTCTTGTTTTATATAAATCAAAAATTGCAGAATTCATAACATAATATAACCAAAATTTACTTTTCTAAAGTCACAGAATAATAAACAATCAGAGTACCCACTCTCAGATGCCGCCTTTGAAGTTTTTCAGCACGCGCGCCATGTTTTAGAAGTAAACACATAACACAGACATATGATTTGTGAGGGTATGTAATTGTTTATGGTTTATATTTATGTTCAGTTATATTATATTTATGTTATTATATTTAACAATGTTAATATAATTGTATAGTATGTCTATGATTGCCGTCAATAAAACGGGTTAATTTTTCTATGCACGCCACATGGACGTCTGTGTTTATACGTCCATGGCACACCAGATAAACAACACTGGTTCCCTTTAAAACATGACGGAACGTCTGCGCGAACGAGGTGCGCGTAATTAATATTCCGTGGAGAGTGGGCATTTTGATTGTTTATTATTCTGTGCTAAATCCTAATTTTTGTTCCATGTTTGACATTTGCGGCTATAATCAGCTTGTACTTTCAGTAAGCTCAGCCAAAAATTTAATTAATCGTTGATTATTTACATGTATAAAAATTTAGTGGGTTTGTTTCTTATTCTGTCATTAATTTCAGAATATAAATTATATTGAAATATTCACCGATCGTTTATGTTGGACATACTGTGGTGTGACGCGTGACAGTGTTTTTTGACATGTTTGACAGAATGAGAAAGAAACGCCACCAAATCCAAAATTTTGTTATGGCGAAGTTTTTGAATTGATTATAGTTAAAAATGGGTGAACATTCACACAGTAGATTTGAAAAATCTCTTGGCTTGTTAACAACAAAGTTCGTGGGTCTGTTAAAAAGAGCGACAGGTGGTGTACTGGATCTTAAAGTCGTAAGTATAGTGATAAGTTAATTAGGTTGGAAAAAAATATATAGTTTTTTAGGCTGCCGATTTGCTGGCTGTTAGACAAAAAAGGAGAATTTATGATATAACTAATGTATTAGAAGGAATAGGATTAATAGAAAAGAAAAGCAAAAACAGTATTCAATGGAAGTGAGTAGAGAATATTAATTTCAGATTTATTTCCATTTTAATCACAAACAATTCTACCTGACAATAAATTTGATTGTATCCCAATTGCAGACACTATATCCTGAACCTGCTAAGATCAAATATTTTTCTCGGTCTTTTATAGAAATTTATACTTTTTTTTTCATGGTATTGATGGCAAACTTATACTTTGCAAATTTTTGTAACAAATTCAAAACAAATGATGCCAGTAATCTATTTTCTTTTTTAAAACTTTTTTACACTACATATTCAATTGGTTAGTTAATTTTGTAACAACTTTTAGGCCTTACACCAATAAGTATCTACCTGGATCAGACACTGAAGAATTTACCTCTAAGATATCTGAACTAAAAAAGAAAGTAGCAAAATTAAACGATTATGAACGTGAACTGGACCTACATAAACTGTGGATTGAACAAAGCATAAGGAATACCACTGAAGACTTAGAAACTAGGCAATATTTATATTTAACAGATGAAGATTTTTCAAATCATTTTAGCAGTAGTGACACAGTTGTGATAGTTAATACACCTGTAAATAATAGTAGTGTAACATTTGAAGTAAGTAATTTTGTAATCTATTCGCACTAAAACTAATCAATTGTATGAAAAATTGATTAGCTCAAAATGTAATAGTTTTCACTAAGAAGGGACCAAAAGACTTTTACGGACTGATTTTAATTGTTCCGAATTTTGAGTGGTCTTAAAATTAGTAATATTTATATTTTTTGTTAATTTGCACTATCTTGTATTCAAAAATAAAAAATGTGAATTTTTTTACCATAAAATATCAGAAATAATTAAAACCTATATTTAAGTAGGTGGATAGTTTTTAAACAAAAAAATTTAATATATTTTAGAATGTAGAAGATTCATTCCAGCTACATTTCAATTCAAGTACAACACCTATAACCACAAGACTTTTGGGAGATGTTCCTGCAGATGATCAGGGAAATTCTAAAAAAAGGAAAAGGGTATGTATGCCAAAAAAGTTTATGGTCTTTTTGTGTTTTTGACAATTAAGTTCTTTTATATACTATAAAATTATACATAATTGATTATGGTAATTATTTGTAAAGTACTACTGAAATGGGCTAAATAACTGTCTTTAACTCAACACATTGATGAGCAACAGTGTCTCTAGATGTCAGAATCTTTATATATGTGAGTGACACTAATAAAAATGATGGATGTTCTGATATGGCTTTTGCAGATCTGTATTAATACTGCAAACATATCATCCCTACCATTTCTAACTATCAAATGTGAAAAGTGGTACTTTTCAGGAGAGCAAGATAACTAACTTTTAGAGAATCAGCGCCTTGACAAATGAAAAAATTTTATATTTTTTATATTCAATGTTTAATCCTTGTTATATTGATAAAAAAAATTAAATTGTTTATTGTTTTTTCCTTTCCAAAAATCACATTAGATACTTTGCTTTTTGTGTTAATCAACAATTTGTTTTGGTACAATGTCTCAAAATTGCGAATGTGGCATTTTCATCAGTTTATATTGGTATAATTTTAACACATTCATTTGGTGCAATGTTTCAAAATTGCGAATGTGGCATTTTTGACAGTTCATATTGGCCTAATGTTAACACATTTATATTCTTAATTGAAAAGGAGGAAAATTAAAATAATTTTAATGTTCTTACAAAAGTTTATTACAAATCTGTTAATTAAAAATTGAAGTTGTAGG